GGGCATGGACACATTTTCAACTGATATTTTCAATTTTTAATGATTTCAATGTTTACTAAGGCAATTTTAATGATCAGCAAAAAACATCATTTGTTGATACATTGTATACAAAGGAGTTACAGAACTTGCAAACTTCTTCATAATGTAAAGAAGGCTCGTGCCTTGTTTTTGTTTATATATAGAAAATATTATTTTTATTACAAAACGTGATTCAGCAATTTACAAGAAACTGCCTCATCCTATGTAGAATTAACTTCTGAAAAAGTCTGCTTTAAACAAACATAATTATATTTGATTTAGTATATTTAAACTGTGTAAACAAAAACGTGGGTTTGGTCTTGTTTACATAACAAAGGTTTTGAGCTCTAAATCTGTTTTTTAATTCGACAACTGTAATTCAAACTTTTGATGTTCTTTAGAAATACTTTAATTAGGACCCCGCAAGAATTTGCAGGTGCTCTGTAGAAATCAATCTGTCTGTCTGTCCATCTGTCATTCTTCCGTCCACAAATTTTCTGTTTTTCCTATTAACTTATTAATGGTTGACCAATTAAGTTCAAATAAGAAGGTATGGTTTTAGCTTTATTGCGCCCTAAAAATGTAATGACATCAAAAAGTTTTGAAACTGGCTTAAATATTAGTTAAATAAATGACTATAATAAATCAGGAAAAAATATGGCATGAAGGTTTACCATTCTGCAATTATAAAGTCATTAATGTGAAGCATTTCTCTATTTTCAAGAGAAAAAGCCTTAAAATGGCACATTTTAAGGGTAATTTTCCTTTAGAAAATAGTGTCCACAGCCGTCGCCCACGTTAATTTTTTGATATTTTGTGCAAAATTCAAAAACAAATCACATATCTCAAGATCTTTGTAGGCGATGCCTGTGGACAATATTATTTGAAAGAAAATGCCATTGAAAATGAGTGTCTTCTGCTACTTTTTAAGAAAATACGGGAAAATGCGTATGTTTATGACGTCATAATTAGCATTTAAAAATACAAGTGAGAAAAATGACTTGTATGATTTTTCTGCATTGAATTTCAATAATTCATAAAGCATGAGTTTTCAACTTTTACACCAATTTCATTTTTTAGAAAATCACAGGGCAAAATTTGTATGAAAACCATACCTTCTTTGATATGTTGGTTGAATAGGCAGTTAGCCATGTTTTGACGCTAATTTTATTTTTTTCGATGTAATTCGGTTTGGAGCTAGGTATAGGTGGTTTAGATTCCTTAACTTTATATAAGAATGAATGGGCAAAGAGAGATAACTGCTGAGAATTTTCCCATTGCAAACTGTGAAATATGCAGTGAGTCCCTTTGGATTAAGTAACTTTCCTTAAATCCAAAGCATTATCTTTATCTGTCACATTGAGATTAATTACCATTTCTGTTTGCAAATGAATTTTGTCTAAAAGTTAAGGTCAATTCCATTCAAACTTTATTTTGGGTTAAAGCACAGCTTCTTGTGAACAGGACCACCCCCCTCTATTTCCCCATAAAATGTCAACCCTTGTTGGATATTTCTTCACAAATGTTATTTATTACACTTATTTATTAAGTATACCACAGGAAAAATCGTTAAAAACTGGAAAATAATCGTAAAAAAGAAAATAAAATAAAAAAGAAAAGAAAAAGAAATCCCCTACTATACATTATTAGAGAGATCCTTCCACAAGTACCTGAGGGTAAAAGTATCATACACAATGATTTTTTGTTTTGTTTGTTTGTTGTTTTTTTTTTTGTCAAATTCAAATGACAAGATAAAGCTAAACTTAAGATATTTTTTATTTAATTACTGCTTTTTTGGCAGCCGTATCAAGTTTAAGAAATAAAACTTTACTATTAATTTTAGGAGGAAGTCAAGATAATATCCACATTCTATTATTGCTGAAACAGTTCTTATCATAAATATAGAAGAAAAGGACGAGAGAAAGAGAGAAGTAACTAATCCTTAGGAATTAATTATCGAGCTTGCTGCAGAAAAAAAATATTTAAGATTGATGAATATCTTTGTCTGTAGATGAAGGTTTTTACCAGAGAGAAGTAACTAATCCTTAGGGATTAATTATCGAGCTTGCTGCAGAAAAAAATATTTAAGATTGATGAATATCTTTGTCTGTAGATGAAGGTTTTTACCTAGTGAAGGTCAAGTCTTCGTGATATATACATTCACCATAGACTGTCAATCATAATACACATGCTTCCTCGTTGTGTAAATATACATTTCATCAAGTTGTTTTAAATATGTGTTGCTGTTTACTGCCTTGTGTAAATAAAGAGATACTATTTATAAGTTTTTTGATACCCAGGAATTATCTTGAAATTTTAAAAATAGATTTGAGGTTGCTTAATATTATTTTTGATCATATATCTTTTTTTGAGTTTGTTAAAATTTTCATTCCGTAAGCTGCATCTTTTTCATTCTATCCCTGGGCGGGGTCCTTACTTACTGGTTTTGACTGGTCAGTTTTCTAGAAAAAATGGAAAATCAAATTTGGAAATTTTTAGCTGTGTCCATGCCCCTTTTAATATATTAATATGTAACTCACATAGAAAGGTTGTATACTAAGTATTAAAATGTTTAAAGGTCAGAATTACAGTGTTTCTTTGTTGAATTGGTCTGAAATGATATGGATGTCTGAATTTATCTTTATTGTATAAACACATATTTCTAATCCCACAGACTGCTATTCCCACTTGAAGTGTTTCATGAATATGTTCTGGTGCTACTTGAAAGTACTAGTAGACCTACAGTGTAATAGTCGATGAGGCACTTTTTAGGCAATGTAGGTTGGTTTACTTGAATGTTAAAATCAGCCTGCTGCTAATAACGAAGCAAACATCCTATGTTTGAAACTGTATTCGGGATTCTAGTAAAACCAGTTTTGTGAAGTATTCTTGGAAATATCATATTTATATTTGAAAAAAGATGTTGATGGTAATCGATCTTATAACCAAGCTCTATAATAAATGTGATGAATCTATATTTCAACTTCCCTTACTTATGCAACAAAATACCTTCATCACCTGTATACAAAGTTTATATATTTCAGTTGATGTGATACACAAGAACATGCTTTACGCATGCACATTTTTTAGCTTACCTCGACGAAGTCGAGATAAGCTTATGCTATTCCCCCGGCATCGGCGTAAGCGTCGGCGTCCCTTTAAAGTTTTAGGAGCTGGTCCATTCCCAAGTAACTATAAGCCCTTCCCAGACCAAATTTCCATGGATGATACATCTAGGAATGAACACTACCAGACTTGCTTCGGAAGCTTGACCTGACCTACATTTTTCAGATGAGTGACCAGGTTAAAGGTTTTGGAACATTTCAATTCCCAATGAACTTTGAGACGTATTTAAACAAAACCTTCTTGAGTATTGTTATCAAGATGAATACTTACTGGGTCAGGGGTACTTGAGGAGTAAGAGGTACTTGGAGGGGGTACATAGACTGAAAATGAATTTGTGCTTTAAAATCTGTTCTTTAATTGGTATTTATCAACTACAGTGTATTCATGATGAAATAGAACTTATAATAAAATTTCCAACATTTTGAAATATGTTGCCCCAGGGTCAGTGGTCCTGTGGGATGGGGTGCACAACTGATCCTAAAGTGGAAATGCATTTTTGTAAGACAATTGTAACTATTATGAAATAATCACAAGAGTTAATAAACAGGTATAATTAAATTTATTACATAAGTGAAACAATAGAAGAGTACTTCGTGTTGTGTTTTAAAATGAATAGATTCGTAACATTTAATAAGTAAAAAGAAAAAAAAAATAAAATTCTCAAAGTTCTTTAACAATAAATAAACTCAGTCCATTTTTATCATGTCCATAGAATAAATGAAGTTTGTAAACATTCAAGCCAATCGAGTGATAAAGTCCAATTTAAAGTGCGGTCGAAACGTAAGTTGGGTTTCCCAGAAAAGTTTGTAAGCTGGAGAGTGTCGGGGAACAACACTAAAATCGCCAGGTAGTAACATTTACACTAATATCAGCGCACTTGTCCATTTAGTAAAGCACTGTCTTATTGGTTAATTAGTGAATCTCGCATTGGTCGCGTGAATCTCGTATCCAGGGACGCTCCATCATAGTACGTCTATTTGACCTCCAATTGCTCCTCCCTCTGTCCTCCTTTAGTTCCTCGGTGACCATAAACTGTCAAGGTGACCGTCAGGTGTAGTAGCCTCCAGATACTTATACAAAGTGACCACCAGTAATTAATACAGTTGAAAAACATCCACTTGATAAACCCTCTGATGTACCAAAAGAAGGAGACTGAAAGTCTAACAAATACTCGTAAATACACATAAATAGAATTAAATGATCTGCAATATAAATTACTGCATTGCAACAAGGTTTGTGGTTGGTCCGCACTCTAACTGACCATCGATAAAAATCAAAATGTTTACGGGTAACCAAGGTCACTTAACAAGGTCTTATGTACTTGATTTCCTTCATAATTAGTTCACTTTAATATTAAATTAATACTTTAATATTAAATTAATAATTGCAAAATAAGAAATAATTTATACTTTATAATTTGTACTTTTCTTAATCAATATAGATAGTGTAATATTATATAATGATGGAGGTGACTGTGTTACATTTTCTCTGTTTCTCTGATCTACCTCTGAGCATTAAGAAACCAAAGTAATCATGTTAACTATATTGTTATAATAAGTAATGGCATCTCTTTCAAAATTGTGAATTTCATTGTCTCTTGTTTAAAACACAATCAAATTCAATTGTTGGAAAGTTATAACATGATACTCAGGTGACCTATAAGGCCCATGGGCCTGTTGTTTAAATGTATCAGCTATAAACTATTCATTTCTAACCGGTCATAAATATTTCTCCTGCAGAAGCTAGAAAAAGACAGATTTCAGAAAAAGAGAGAGAGGCCGTCAGATTTTGCAATAATAGAAATAAAGCCAAGGATATAATATTCATTTTTAATAAGAAGCAACATAACAAACCGATTATGGACATATTAGTTGTTTATTAGTAAATTGATAGACAATTGATGACCATATTTATTTCCATTACATTTTTTATGATGCATCCTTTGATAGTTAGTATGTGTCCTTTATCAATTGTTGCAGCTATACATATTCGTTGGATAACAATCAAGAACGTGCACCCTACAACAAATGGATTTTATTCATTATTTCATTTCAATTGTAATATAAATGTCCAACTTAAGCAGTTTTTGGTCAATATTTCAACAAAAAATAATTTTAAGGTCAGGTTCTTTTAAACTTAAGATACCTAAAGATTTGGTTAATGTTGGAAAATGTACATGTATGAATTTCTTTACATAATGATTTATAGATATATTTGGACGTTGAGGTGCTATTTTCAGGTATACGCACAACAATAACATACATTACAAGCAATTATGGGAAATAGACCTTTACAGTATACAGAAAATTTATTCAAATTTGGCCTACCTAGCAACTCTTTTAGAAAACTAGAATTTTTATGTTGAAATTATTTTTTAAAAATAGTGATTATTAAGTATACTTACTGGATAATTTTTTTAATGATAGTATACTGAGATTATACCATTTTCAAAATGATAAATTGTATTCATTATATAAACTATTAATGAAAAATGAGCATATTAAAAACATTCATTTACAAACTGACCATAAAAGTATATTTTCTACGGATAAAAAGTCTCTCTCTCTCTCTCTCTCTCTCTCTCTCTCTCTCCCTCTTTACGTGTGCATGTGTGTCAATCATACATGTGCAATAAATGTCCCGTCAATAGTTAAGAAACCTCTCTACACTGCACACTAAAGAGTTCTGATTCTAAGGTATTTTTCTACAGTAAGAGTGATCTGCCCTTAGAACTAAATTCTAAAAAATATACATTTACACAATATTACTCAATTTATAATCAATTCAAGTATTCTTAACATTTTAAAAGGCCAAGCTAAATTAAATGAACATGTTATTTACATGTATTTTCTCTTTTGAAGTAATCAACAGTGATATCTATTTACTAATACTGTGTTGTCTTTGAATATTTTTCCCGGGGGTAAATGCCACGCTCCATACATTGAAAGTTAGATAGATAAGCGCAATATTAATTCCTTTATGCAATAAAATTTTCTCAATGTCCAAAAAATATTTTGCATTGGTGTAGAGAGGGTCCTTACAATGAAATTACCAGAATCATATTTTCTATTTTTTCTGCTTTCGTGAGCAGTCTTCTGGTACACCACTGATAGCAATGGTAAAAAATACTTCGACAACAATAACGGTGGACACGTGGTCCTCCGGGTCTCACACGATCACCTCCATTCTGACTCTGTGCCTCCATGACCAGGGAAACAACAGTCAGCACAAACAAAATGACAAATAGCATCAACTTCATCTGGGAAAATAAATTACGAATAATACATATATGTTGAGGATTGCAATTGAAACGTATATATAGGTTCAAAAAAGTATATTATTATGTATATGTAGCAAATACATTATAGCTAATCATAAAAAAATACTAAAATTCTAAAGATTTAAGCCTTGAATATCTTAGCTTTTTTAAGCAGAACAGCTAAGTTTGTTTAACGCATATCGGTATGCCCGAAACATTCCGTATGCAAGCTTATTTTGTAAACAAAAACGTTGTCTGGCATATAGGTAATATACATGTGTATATTTTCACACAAAATTAATTAAAATTATAAATTTATAATTTGTTTCGTTTTAATCTGAATTAAATTTCAATAAAGGAAATCAAAACGCTCGGTAGGATCATGCATTGGAAAGATTGTAAAATTGAACACTTAAGCTTACAGACAGATGTTTTACTTTAAATACCGATACTGAAAAGATCTTATAAATCTAAGTAATATAAAGGAAAACAAAATTAGTCAAAAAGAGATGTTAAAGCTGAATGATAAAGACGTTGTTGAACTTTGTTAAATTTTTGTTGGTGTACACTGGCACTGTTTAGCTGTACAAATGCATTCACAAGCTCGTACAAATGTAACGCCATTTCATACCAATATTCACCAATATACAAGTTTAACTATCCTACAATGTTGGCGTATAAATTAAGGATAATATCTTTCCAACATCGGTCACTATTGTATCATGCATTAATAGAAGCACAAGAAGCGTTCCAAATTTCAAGGAATTTATGGAGTTTAACCTTCTGCTTTGTACAGACAAAAAAAATAATATACCAATCTTAAATATGTGATAAAAGATAATTGGATATATGGATATATTTTATAATTAATTACACATATTCTCTAATACTATGATTTTGATATCAAATGAAAATCAAATAAAAAGGAAATCGGGTCATTCTGCAAAGCCATGATACATTCAGACTTTTTAAAAAGCATTACTTGTTATGCATTATGCATGGGTTGTTCGAAAAGTTCGTGGACTGCTGTCAAATCTGTTTTATTTGACATAATATTTTATCAAAATTTGGTAGAAATATTTTTAATAAATCAAAACGATCTGCTTAAATCTTTTGTAAACATCATTGTAAACAAACAACATTTATTAAAAATTAACGGAGATTAAAATAACAAAAAATCGGATAGTGGAGCAGATCTGAATTTGGTAAGTTACGAACAAAATACTAAAAATATCTGTAGGCATATTTTCTTCAAAAGGGAGTAAAATCGACAAACATAGAAATTCAAATTAAGAACTGTAACATCTATTCGTATTCCAAATTTTGGCTTAATATTTTGCTTTGTTGAAAAGAAATCAACTTGAAAAGATACGAACGACGAGCAGAGACAACGATGAAATTTTCTGTTGTGCTCTGGAAAAATCCTGAATAAACCCTTAAAATTTTGGAGGAATAAACGATTGTCACAAACGAGCTGTGCATATGTGTACGAATAATACATGCAGTATCGTAGTTCCAGAGATTATGGGATGAGGACAATCTGTGGAGAAACATTTTATCTGTGAAAATCTGAACAAAGAACTTTGAAATTTGGAAGGTCAAGAATAGACATAGGCGCTTCAGAGTTGCTTATCCTGTGAAAGCAGAGTTAGGTAATAAAATGAATTAAAACCTTAGCAAAGGAAATTATACAACGAGAGTAATTCTTAGAAAAATAAATGTCAAGTGTAAGAAATAGGGTGTAATCAGTGGGCATTGGATTATACTGTGTTAAATATAAAGGGATATTATTTATTTCTTTTTTTTAAAGAAATTTAATTCTTATTTTTGACGACGTTACTTTGCCGTTGAATTTGCTCCGCGGGTACAAAACATGTTGATTTTAAAATGAAGTAAATTGATTTCTGTAAATTGATTTCTGTTGAATCGAATTGAAAGAAACTTAATGCATCAACAAAATAATTATTTTTAGATATTATATTGTGCATTTCTTAATTTTCTAGTGAGCAATTAAACGAAGTTTGACGTCGTCCACAAACCTTTCGAACACCTCTCGAATTTGAATAAAATTTCTTACCTTGTTCTTTTTGTCTTGAAACTCAAAGTATACCCTTCAATAACGAACATGCTTTTAATTCAATACATATATATAAGAGCTGTACAAGGTCGATTAGTACAAGGTCCAAGGAGGTTTTTAAGACAGAGTATGAAGTTTCAACATATAATGAAGTTTGGATTTCCTTTACAACCAGAGTTGAAGATTTTATTTGCAACAATTACAAGTGTTACGTGACTTTCAGTATAATTTCTATTTTTCATTCGTAAGGTCTTTATTTCATTGCTTTTGGAAACCACACATCCTATCACATGTACATTTTATACAATTTAATGATACGTACATGATAATACATGTCTTATTGTACACATTCCCGGTATTGTTGTGCACATTTGGTAAAAATACATTTATTATAAAGTAAGTGTTTGTGTAGTTATTGAACATTTTCGGAATCTAAGCCACCTGATAACTTACAGAGGACTGCGGACTTTTTACTTTAGAGAACGTATCAAAAAAGTTTTTTGAGTGTTACGTATATAACTTGACGATTACATAATTATCGTTTCATCTGCAGGAGTCTACCTATATACCTTTGAATGGAATAAGGGTGGGGGCTGTCTTCTCCCTTTTTTCCTCTAAGAAAATAAAACTTCTGGTGATAACGAAGAGTATTCAAGATCAGAAAACAATAAGACAATACAAAACAAGAGCAGAGCAAACACTGACCTCTAAAACATAAGAGATAGGATCAGGTGCAATAAAGGAGTAAGCATCCCTTTCCGACCGTCACATCTGCCTTGTGCCCCTTGTCATGATTGGGAAATAACGAAAAAGTCCGTCGTCATTTCAGTATATAAATAATGGACTGAAGATTAGTATGAAAAACCTCAGTCAGCATTTTACTCAATGAAAAAATGTATTTGCTGATAAGGTCATTGTCCATTTCTCGCTCCCCTTTCCAATCGCTTGTTTCATTGAATTAATTAATAACCACAGTAATGGCATTACAAAAAATTCCTTAGTAAGCAAGCAATATTTAAAGAACATACATTCAATATCAAAGTCCAGTGTTCTCCATGAGCTCTTTTACTGTGTTGCTCCCGACACAGCAAGATTTTCTCTCACACAGTAACTATTCAAATTTTATGCATGCAACACAGTAAAAATTTTGCCGACACAGTAAGATAATACCATGTGATAATTAGAAAATCTAAACACATAAATTCTCTCTAACTAAAACTTTAATCACACAATTCTACCGTCTTTCAATTCTAAAAGTTAGAGCACTTAATTAAATTACTAGGGCTTCACCTTGCATGATCAATTATATCCTAGACCCTCGCTGGACTTTACGCGTGAAGGAACAAAGACAAATAATCTGTTTCCACACTTCCATGTAACGGTTAATTGGTAGTTGCAATAAAATACATTTTATTTTTTATTTTTTTTTTTAAATATTAAGAGGTCTTTTTTATAGAGCCGCGGCTCTAAAATTATTTTAGCATTGTATGTAAAACATAACATCGTATCCAAGTCTTTTAGTTGATGTGAATGGATTGCTTAAAATTTTCAACATGTTCAAGAAACTCTATTTTACTGTTCTGAAGTTTCTTTTCTTGTGATGTTGTAACTCGCTCAAGAAAACTGATAAATAATCAGCAAGTTTACTTTCAAAAGTACTTCGACTGTATCGGTCAGATTTCCTCTGCTTTTTAGAACGTGTTTTTACTTTTATCAATATGTACGACTACACCATTAGTGTAGCGAATTAGCGATTTTTCTGCCACACAATAAAATTTAAAATGATGGAGAACCCTGAAAGTCCATAAAACAATACAAAATAGGAGCAGAGCAAACACGGACCTCCAAAACATCAGAGGTGGGATCAGGTGCCATGGAGGAATGAGCATCCCCTGCCGACCGGTAACACCCGCCGTGTACATATTGTCATGATCGGAAAAAAAAACGGAAAAATCCGATGATTTTTTACACTTTAGGTTCCCAGTCTCCATTCATAAAAATGTTTCTATTACACTTAGCACCTAGTTTGCTATCAATTGTGGAAATAGCTTAAGCTATATTTTCAATATTTTCGAATTCTTTACCACGCAGCTCTAGTATTTCCGCAACAGTGAAGTCTTTTGACAAAATTTTAAACTATAAACTTTTTCTTTGCTGACCATCCATCGTTCCGCAAGTATGTCAAGGTTACAACCAAATATTCTACTTGTCTATATGATATGACGTCATAGTAAGCTATATGACGTAAAGGTTGGAGATAAGAATATCTAAAATCGGTTTGAGGTTGTACACATGAATGAAAATATGCAAAGGCATAATATAAATGGATTTTTGTCGTTTCTGGATCCCTGTAGTTATCACAGGGGTTAAATACCAAACCCGTGACGTCATATCTGTTCATCATGCATTAGCAGAGTGAAAGTGACACGTAACGAAAATTCATGTAAACAAACTCAATAAATCGGAGTTTAAAAGCGTTTAGAAGGAATATCATGTGTGATTCATATGGGAATAAAGCTTATGAATTAGGTATGCTAATATAATTCTACAATTTCTTCTAAAAATAAAGCTGGCAGGGTGTTTACTTACCGATCAGCCTTTCCTCTGTCGTTCGTAACCAAAAAGATGCAAAAGTTCAACGCTACGCCGCATACTTTGAAACTTAAATTTTTGTTTGTATCTAAAGTTCTTATTCTATTGTTTTTGGAAAGAGCTGCTAGAATCGTATGGTTTACGGGAATTGATGCATTTATTCCGATGTTATGAAAAAATGTAAAAATATTGGGAAGGTTTCGTCCTAAAGGGTTAAATATTTATTTCTGTGATATGACAGTAGGATTCTAGCAGCACTTTTCGTGGTACAGACATGTTTTTACACAACAGTTATTACAAATTGAAATTAAGTATCCCCGGGGTAGTTTTGAACTTTTCACTTTTTCATTAAGGCATTTTTTTCTAATTAAAGACGTCACGTGGTGACGTCGTGGTTAAGTGCTTCCTGTAGTATAAGTCCCATTGAAGTCTGTAGAATGCAGAATTATAGCAAAAGGTTTATCCTTGACTTTTCCGAAGTATTAGTGTTACATAATTTTAAAAAAAAGTGTTAATTCGTCGAATTCTGATCCATGTGCTGCCTTAACTACCTGCGTCGATTCAAACCTGCTACTATGATAAATTTGTATTTTCTATTTCATACAAAAACATGGCTTATTTTTCATACATTTCTTGGTTATACAGAATCTTTTAAAAGTTTGTTAAAGAAGTTTCCTTAATGCAAAGCAAAATTTTCTTGACACTCGCTCCTCCGTGACGTCCTCTAACGTCATGGTTTTTTGATTTTTTAAATCAAGTCCATATGTATTTAGAAAAGGATATCTTTTAAACAGAGCGATATATTACATTACCTGATAGCATCTTAAGTAATACAGCAAAACTTAATTAATCTAAACATGTGAATTTTATTACGTCTCAGCTCCTTTTTTAGGGATATAGCTATAGATACTTTAAAGTAAAAATTTGTAAAGTACTCAAATTTGGTGTTGCTCCTTGAAACCATTTTTGATGTCTGAGAAGCATCCTCAAGTAGTTTAGAATCAAGTCTATTCATGACCTCCCGGGGATAGGTGGATCAAAGTTTTACATTGAAATGTATAGGAAACTGTCTATAAAAATCATTTTTACAAGAACAGCAAATCCACGAATTATCATATTTATAAGGAAGCATCCACAGGTGGTTTAGATTCAATTTGTTCAATTCATGACCGTCCACAATGGGGGATCAAAGTTCTACATAGAAATACATAGGAAAATTCCTTAAAACTCTTCTTAACAAAATGTAAGCAATGATTGGCTCAAGTAGTTTAGATTCTAGTTTAGAAGTTTATTTAATTTATGACCCCCGGGGATAGAGTGAGGCCACAATGGGAAATGAAAGTTTTGCATAGGAATATATAGAAAAACAAGATGTGTTTGTGAAACACTATGCGCCCGGAGGCAACAAAGTTAAAAAAAAAACAAAACATGATTTTAGCATATATATGTCACAGTCTAAGTGACGAGGTCATTGATCATGGTGTCTTGTGAAAGGGCTTAATTGGTAAAGAATACATGTCAAATATTAAGTCTGTATCTTTCTTCGTTCAAGAGTTATAGCGAACGATAAAGTCTGCTGACAAAAAAAGGTACTTGTATATTTAGTGCATAGGTCACAGTCAAGGTCACCAGGTCATTTACCATGGTGGTGTCATTGTTAAAAGAGCTTAATCAGTGGTGTATGCATACCAAATATGAAGTCTCTATCTTATATAGTTCAAAAGTTATGGCGAAGGTTAAAGTTTGCAGAAAAAAATATTTTATACCGGTAGGTCACAGTCAAGGTCACAAGGTCATTGATCTTGGTATCATTTAAAGGAGCTTAATTAGTGAAGTACGTATACCAAATTTGAAGTCTTAACCATTCATGGTTAGAAAATTATGGCTAAGATTAAAGTTTGCAGACAAACAGACAAACAGACAGACAGACAGACAAGACAAAAACAATATACGCCTCGGATCTTTCGATCCGGGCGCATAAAAAATGTAAAATTCTTCTTCTCAACATCAGTAAAGCCACCATTGATAATACTGTTATGGAAGCATCTTCAGGTAGTTTAGATTCATTTTGATCAAATGATGACCCCCTTAGGTAAGGTGAGACCATAATAGCGGATCAAAATTATTAACAGGAATACAAAGATTTTTATTTAAAACTAGTTTTGTGAAGAAGAGCAAATCTGTGATTTATCATTGTTTTGTAGAAGCATTCTCTAAAAATTTAGATTCAAATTTATTAAAGTCATGGTGCAGGATGGGGCCACAATGGGGGACGAAAGTTCGTCTGAGTAATCTATAAAAGATTTTTTATAAAAAAAAAATTTCCTCAAGAATTGCTCATATTTATATTGAAGAATCTCCAGGTAGTGTAGATTCAATTTTGTTTAAATGATACCCACAAATGATAGTGTTGGCCACAATGCTGGATCAAAGTTTTACATAGGAATATTTTGGAAAAAAAGACTTTTTCTCAAGAACAGAAAAACCATAATTATAAAATTACTTATATTGATGTGGAAACTCAGGTAGTGTAGAATCAATCTCATTCAAATGAGAGCCCAAGAGGGTGGGGCTGGGCCACAATCATGGGTTGGGCGGGATTCAATATAATCGAATAAATAGGAAAACAATCTTCTGTTCATGAATAACAAATCCATTTGTTATATTGATATGGAAACATCAATAGATAATTTAATATCAAATCTCACCCTTCGAAGTTTCCCCATGAAAGATTTTTAATACTGAACCGAGTTTTGCTTTTTTCCCCGCCAATATGCTCAGGTGAGCAATGTGACCCATTGGCCTCTTGTTTGTTATTAAAAATCTTGTAAGTGCCTTTGTCCAATGACCAATTTGAATGCATTTTGGCAAGTTTATTTTGTATATTTTCTTGCAGTTTGAGCATGTTGGCTACAAAAACATGCCTATAGTGTTTAATTGGAGTTGGCGTTTGACTTCTAAGACAAACTGCTCCTTATTCATGATGACAATTTTGACGCTTTGATCTATTTTCAATTGCAATGTCATTGTAATTTTGAAGAGATAAAATAGCGTCTTTTTAAGAATTTGAGATGTTCTATTTCTTTCTTTTTTTTTTTTTTTTTTTTACAATTTCCAGGTTTTGTTTTATCCATGTATTCCTCAAGTTTGTTGAATGTAATTGGCGGGTTGAAGCCAAATTTTGTTAAAAATTGTCATGTGTTGGAATGAATTTTAAGCCTCAGTCTTTGCGCAGTAAGAAGATTTCATGTTTGGATAAGTTGTATCTTGCTAGATTTAGCGTGTGAAAATTAGAGACATCAATCAAGCAGACTTGTAAGGAATTTATCAAGACCTGACACTCCAAAATAAACCACACTTATAGTAGATAGTAGATATAAAATCAAGTTTTGCAGATCTCTGGATTTAAACCTTACATTAAAGGACCCAAATACTGAAATATTGTGTTAGTGTTCTATTAAAAAATATTGGTTGGAGTCCCGGGGTCTTATACATCTCAGACAAGTCTGGTTAATTGACATCGCTAATTTTCACATGCAAAGGGATCAGAAGAATAAAATTCATTTTGCAGTAGTAATTATACGGAAAACTATCTCCATTTATAATTTGTCAGGATCAATTGTTTTACAAGAGAGAGAGAGAGAGAGAGAGAGAGAGAGAGAGAGAGAGAGATTGTTCAATTAAAGAAAAATCTAGAATATCAAAAGAAAATAAAACGACCTGTAGTGATATTTATAATTGCTGTTTATTAGTAATTAATATTTCACAAAGATAATTATTCAATTCTTTCCTTGCCATATATCCTTTGATGGTTCATGTGTGTCCACAGTAACAGGTACCTAAAATGAAAATTGAAGATTTTTTGTTACGTTTTAAAATATTAACATTTGCTAATGTCTTTACTTATATGAAAATACTAAAAAAAAAGCAATTCAATTTTCAATGGCATGCAGTCGGTCACATGATCAGCCTTTCTTGCGTATGGAAAGCATACTGCACGAGGCATTTAGAAAGACTTAACTGTGACGTCATATATATACTTTATGTTGCATTTAAAGTACCAAAGTCTAAATAGAGCATTTTGTCTTTGAAATGTGAATACAAATAAAAATATAAATATATGAAATAAGATATCATTTTTAGAGTGTCAATGGCATAGGATATGTAGATGGTACGTGATCAGATCTTCATGTTATATCTCAATGACACTCTAAAAATGATATCTTTCTCTTAAATGGTATCTGTAAGTAAAATCATTCAAATGTTGCATTTCTTGCTTAAGCAATTTTTGGTCAATAATTAGAGAGATAATTTAGAGATCAGACGGAAAAACATATTAAAAACTGCGATTTTGATCAAGAATAAAGAGAAACAAATTCAAGTCTGGAAATTTAACAGTTACCAACACAGAAAGTGTTTCCGAATTACCTTTAGTCTCTCAGTAAACAACTATTTATATGTTCTTTTTATACTTTCTTAAATATGTTCAACAAAATAGCTAATTTGATTACTCTTGGCATGGTATCCGGTTGATTTTGCATTGAAAATACGTCATTATTTTAATTTTATTGATAAGGTACATAAAACGTACACTGTAATATAAAGTATTTTGACTGTGAATTTATCATGACGTAAAAAGATTATGTGATAAAGTAATATAATCAGAACTCTCTCTCTGTAGCTCTCTCTCTCTCTCTCTCTCTCTCTCTCTCTCTCTCTCTGAGTGTAATAATATGTAAATTTATCATATACGTGCAGTAAATAATCAGTCAATATTTGAAAAAAAATTACCAAGATTATATTTTCGACTCCTTATGCACTCGAAAACTCAAACTGAGTCACAGGTCTTGTACACCATCTCATACAATAATAAAAGGGAAACCTGTAAACGTTATACCCTCCACAACAATACCTCTCGGTATTCGGGTCTTCATTTTGACTTTGTGCTTCAATGACTTTGAGCACAAAAGTCAGCACAAACAAAATGACGAATTGCATCACCTTCATCTGAATAAAAAAAAAACATTAATAATGATATGCTGAGAATTGAAATCAATATATAAAATCAATGAAAAGTTATATTGGCAATTAAATTGAAAATAACACTTATTCGATAGGGGCTATATTGTAATGCATGAATAAAATAGCAAGAAGGCCTCATGGCAAAAATATCAAAGAATGTACGCTGATTGATTTTTCCGGTTTGTACAAACAAAAAAATGGCTATACTCTCATGATCTAAAAATGAGATAAAATATCAAGGAACAAAGAGGAAATGATATTTATAGCTTAATATAATAAAAATAAATCATAAAAAAATAATGGGTATATTTAATGACAACAGTTGTGTCCCTTAAAATTTACTTCTCAATTAAGTTCATTTGAGAAAACCAAGTCCTTAATTAAACAAAGATCATTGCCAAATAGACTAGAAAGTTCCAAAGAACGCATGTGTTGCCTGCTTTTACCAGTAGCTTCATTAAGGAAGTAATTTATTCTAAAATGGTCAGCTTTTTATTTGCTACTAGCATCCCAAAAAAATCTCCACGGACAGTAAGACAGCGATAGAATCAGACAATCAAATACAAATCCCCAATCCCGAAAAGCTAAAATGTGTATATATATAATTGAAACTCAAATAATTGAAACTCAAATAATTGTTCGTCAATTAATTAATAAGCACGCGATTTCAATGAATGATAATTCTTTAAAAGAAACTTAAGTCTGTCTTTAAAACAATTGTTAGTCTACACCATCCATTTTGGAATATAACGAAGCAATATTTCTCATCAGACAATTTAAAAATAAATGTTATTTTACCAAGCTACATGCAACCTTTTAAAAAAAGCATGTTTGTTAATGTTTGAATAAAGTTTGTTACCTTGTTCTTTTTGTCTTGAAACTTCAAGTATATGCTTCAATAATAAAAATGCTTCGAATTAAATGTATATATATTGATGTATGTTTAATAAGGAAGAACAAAGTACAAGGAGGTTTTAAAGCAGAGAGAGCTGCTTCTTAATTAATCAAAGTGTTTTTTCCTTTATAACAAAAGTACATAGCTATTTATTGAAGAAATTACATGAATTACAAGAATTATGTGTCAAGAGGTAGAATTCTTTTTTTTTTTAATTTTTAAAATTGTTGTTAATGCATTTAAAAATCTCTCGGTCTAACACAACTACATTTTATACGATTTGGTAATATATCATATCATTGCAATGCTATGTTTATTATTTCGCTTTTCTTGCGTAAATTTGAAAAAACCTCAAAAACCTTCGAGATTGCGGGCAAAAAATTTTTTATTCTAAACATAATTTTTGGTTGGCTGTTTATCTAATGTTTCAGGTCTTCAAGGTGCTGATAAACTTAAAAGACTGCTTAGAACAATATAACTGGATGCTTATAAACCAAGAAAAATACTGATCCTTATCAATGTCCGTGCAGAGAAATTTTAGTCAAGCGCTGATATTTATTGATAAAATTTATTCATATTGCTCTCACTCTCTGTCTCTCTGTCTCTCTCTCTCTCTCTCTCTCTCTCTCCGGAGTTTTGAAATGGACTGGTAAATAAAATATATAGCAATGTTTTATATAAAAAAAGACACCTACTGCTACACGAGACCTAGGTTGAATACTATATTTCATCCGAAGGGCTGGTCCCCACGTTCCACAGTGGGAATGAAACCCATGACAATAATATTTGACTCCTTACTTCACAACCCGAGAGCAGACGCTCTCACCACTGGCACCACGACAGCGAAGTCAAGATAGAATAATTTTTTAGGTAAAGAAATATAGATTTAAAAAAAAAAACCCTTTACTTAACAATATTTATCATTACAACTATAAATAAGCATTTTTAAAAAAAAGATATTGTTCTATTTGGTATGAATTTAAAATCAATAATAGGATTTTTGTTTTAAAAACATGACATCATAGGAGGATGGAAACACCCTAAGATACCTATTAACTACCAATCACGCTTAATTGTGGCTCAATGTTAAAACTTTTTTTCATTATAATGTATTCCATACAAAAATCAAAAATTAAATTTTTAATGCAAATTAATGTCCAGACATAATTAAACCACCCCTACGCATCTTTTATCAAGTTTTTAAACAAACTCGTAAAGTTTAAAGTATGTTCCAATAGAATTTAACCAAATTCTTATTCAATTCATAATCATCTCTTTTAATATATATAAAGTCTCCCATGATTTTAATTCAACGAGTTGTGTGATTTTTATCCCGAGCCTTGGCGAGGGGATAAAAACACACAACGAGCTGGATAAAATTCATATCCAACTACATGTATAAATCATGGGAGATTCTTTTTATCCCATTTTTAATGCTTCAGAACCGATGTTATACACTGTTTTATATAGCACTCCACATTATTTTACTTCATTACGCTAACGCAAAAACCAATGTGACGTCATTACTGCACTTATATCCACGGGATAAAGGGGTAAACATGGGATAAAACATTTTTGTCAATGCGTATTTACTTTGGACGCTGAGAACAGCTTCTGCGCATGCAATTGCTTTAAATTGTCTGTTCTAAAAATCAGTTAAACATGGTGAAATACTTTTAAAATTACTTTTATCCATGATACCGAAAAGAAACACATCATGCCAATATTCGGGGAAAAACTATATACTGTTTTTAACTTTGTACGTAAAAAGTTAGGACATCTTCAGCATTTCCAAATCAGTAAGTTAACGGTGATGGTTTTTTTTTATTCCATTACTGGAATTTGATTTTGAGCCCTCTTCAAAGAAATACAAAAATCATTCAATAAAACATTTGACAATAATTTGGGGTTTTAAGGCTTTGTAGCATTTAATTATAAGTGTTACACTAATATTTAAAAAAACCTCATTCTTTTCCGATTGAGATTTCAATATTTCTTATTTATTTGAAATAAACATATGTAAGAATATTTCATGTTTGGATAAGTTGTAGCTTGCTAGATTAAGAATGTGAAAATTAGATACATAAATCGACAAACTTGTAAGGGATTTATTGAGACCTAACACTCCAGATTAAACAACACTATAGTAGATAGTAGATATAACATAAAGTTTTGCAGATCACTGGATTTAAACCTTGCATTAAAGGACTTAGAAAACAAATACTGAAATATTGTTTTAGTATTCTATAAGTGTGGGTTGGAGTGTCGGGGCCTTATAACATTTTGGCAAGTTTGGTTGATTTACATCGCTAAATTTCATATGCAACGGGATCAAAGGAATAAAAATTCAATTTGCAATAATTTAATAATTATACGGAATCAAACTCTGACTCCTTTTATTATTTGTCTCTATCAATTGTTTTAGAGAGAGAGAGAGAGAGAGAGAGAGAGAGAGAGAGAGAGGTTGTACAGTTATAGAAAAATCTCAAGAATATCAATATTAATTAAGAAAGAAAAAACAAACGAACTGTGGGGATATTGATTGTTGTTTATTAGTTATTAACATTAAGTAAAAATAATTATTCAATTCTTTCCTTGACATATATCCTTTGGAGGTTCAAGTGTGTCCTTTTTCCTCAGTAACAGGTATCTAGGATGAAAATTCAAAGATTTTTTTACGTTTAAAATGGTATTTGTTAGTAAAGTCATTCCAATGATGCATTTCTTGCTAAAGCATTTTTGGTCAAGAATTCAACATAGAGTGGTTTTAAGATCATATTCTAGAAAATTAAAGTTGCCTACAGATTTTTTTTTCAATTCTAGAAACGTATTCCTTAATTGATAGTTTGTAGTAATGGTGTGTTAAATCAAGGTGCATCAAGGCGGTATTTTAGGGATCAGATGGAACAACAAATTAAAAAAAAACTACGATTTTGATTGAAAATAAAAAAAAATCGTATAAGTCTGGAAATGTAACCCTTACCAACACAGAAAGTGTTTCCAAATTACCTTCAATCTCTCAGTAAACGGCTATTTATTTCCTTTCATACTTTCTTCAAAATGTTCAATTGAATATAGCTAATGTGATTACTTTTGGCATGATATCCGGTTAGTTTTGCATTGAAAATATTCATTAATTCAATTTTATTTATAAGGCACACAAAAAGTAGTTTAAAATATTTTGAGTGTGAATTTATTATGACGTAACAATTCAAGATTATATGGTGATGACTACATGTATATTTAATTCTTAAACCGGATTGATTAATTTTTAAAGTTGACTTGTAGGCCCGAGAAATAAAAGAATTTACAAAACAGAAACGATAATCAGAACTCTCTCTCTCTCTCTCTCTCTCCAGTGTTATAACGTGTATATTTATCATATACATGTACATGCAGTAAATAATCAGTACATATTTGAAAAAAATACCATTATTATATTGTCAACTCCTTATGCACTCGAAATCAGAATTCTGGTACACCATTTAGAACACCAGGAAGCGATGCTTACGGTATACCATGCACCACAACAATACCTCTCGGTAATTGGTTCTTCATTCTGACTCTGTGCTTCAATGACTATGAGCACAAAAGTCAGCACAAACAAAATCAGGAATTGCATCTTCTTCATCTGGATAAATGATATAAATTATGATTAGCTGAGAATTGAAATCAAAAATAAGTAGAACCAATAAAAAGTTTTATTGGCAATTAAATTGAAAGTAAAACTTATCCGATTAAGTGACTATTATTATTGTAATACATGAATAGAATCGTCCTCATGGCAAAAATATCAAAGAATGTAAGCCGACTGAATTTACCGCAAAAGAATTAGAATGCCTATTCTGTCATGATCTGGAGATAAAATATCAAAGAACAAAGAGAAAATGAACCCTATCACTTAGTATAATAATAAATTTTAAAAAAGTAGCAGGTGTATTTCAAAACATCAGTTAAAACTATGGATGTCAAAACTGTTATTTTCCTTAGTCGAACATTCGATTGTATTATTCGATTATTCGTCGATGATTCGGAAAATTTTCTGAAGATAACATTTCATTAGTACATAGTGTATTTATAAACTCAAAAACCATTTTACATCAAACTATATAAAAAGGAACATCAATTGCAAATTCCTATAAAACAAACGTGAAAAGTAAAAAAAAATGTTGACACAGAATAGATTTACACTTTCAGTTCTCAAAAATTTCAGTCATAAATTGAGCTGCACAGTCAGTTTTTATTATAGAAAGCTTAGAGAATTGCAACTTTCAGCACATGGGAGGGGTAAAACCTTATGCACACATTGTTTAATACTGCTTTTACAACGTAAGATTACTACTTAAATAATTATTTAATTGCTTCAAAACTTCCTCACTTTGATTTTAAGTCTAATTAAATGGTTTACAAACAAAGTAGAATATAGCGTTGCATAATTTACTACAAAAACAAAAAGTCCGAAACTGAGGAAATATTATCGCAGTAGTGGAGCATTTGTAGTGACCGTACTTTACATATGTATATGGAAAGATAACAGATTTTGTTATGGAAAATTATTTATAAACTGTGACTGTATTTGAGATCCTATTCGTCTGAGAACGTATATTATATGGTTTAAGACTTTTTCCAATTTGGTACGGGTATTCCTTCTCTTTTCAGACACCTTTTCTTGCATATGTTGAATATTCGAATGTCGTTTCATTATTCGATCGTCGGTCCATTCTACTGACGGTCAAATAGTCGACTGTTCGTTGCCATCCCTAGTTATAATCTTTTGAATTTACTTTTCAATTAAGTTCATTGGAGAAACAAACATAATTAAACAAAGATCACTGCTAAGTAGACTAAAGTGTTCCTGGGAACGCATGTGTCATCTTATTTTACATGTAGCTTCATTAAAGATGCAATTAAATTTGATAATTGTCAGCTATTTATTTGCCACCGGCATGCCCCCCCCCCCTGACAAAATCGCCACGGATAGTAAGACTGCGATAGAATCAAACTATCAAATACACATGCCCGATCCCGCGAAGCTAAAATGGGTAAATATTATTGAAACTCAAATGATTATTCGTCAAATAATTAATTAGTACGCGATTGCAAAGAATAATATTTCTTTAAAAGAGACTTAAATCTGTCTTTACAGCAAATTTTAGTCTACACAATCCATTTTGGAATACCAAAGCAATATTTCCCCCGGTCAATTTATAAAAAGGGTTATTTTGCCATGCTACATGATAGCTTTTTAAAAAGCATGTTTGTTAATGTTTGAAAAAAATTGGTTACCTTGTTCTTTCTGTCTTGAGACTTCAAGTATATACCTCAATAATGAAAATGCTTCGAATTAAATGTATACATATTGATGTATGTTTAATGAGGAAGGACAAAGTACAAGGAGGTTTTAAAGCAGAGAGAGCCGCATCTTAGTTAATCAAAGTGTTTTTTCCTTTATAACAAAAGTACATAGATATTACTTGGAACAATTACATGAATAACGAGAATTATGTGTCATGAGATAGAATTTTTATTTCATTTCTTATTTTTAAGATCATAATGAAGTGTGGATTTCCTTTAGAACCAGAGTTGAAGATTTTAATTGCAACAATTACAAGCGTTACATGATATGAAGTATAATTTCTATTTTTCATTCGTAAGGACTTTATTTCATTGCTTTTGGACACCACACACCCTATCACAAGTACATTTTATACAATTTAATAATACGTATATGATAATATTATTGTACACATTCTCGGCATTGTTGTGTACATTTGGTTAAAATATTAATACCTTGATTATAGAGTAAGTGCCTGTGTAGTTATGAACATTTTCGGAATCTTAGCCACCTGACAACTTACAGAGGACTGCGGACTTTTCACTTTAGGGAACGTATCAAAAAAGTTATTTGAGTGTATATAACTTGACGATTACATAATTGTCGTTTCATCTGCACGAGTCATACCCAATATACCTTTGAATGGAATAAGGGGGGGGGGGGCTGTCTTCTCCCTTTACTTTTTTCCTCTAAGAAAATAAAACTTATGTTGATAACAAAGAGTTTTAAAGATCAAAAGTCAATAAGACAATATAAAACAAGAACAGAGCAAACACTGACCTATAAAAAAATAAGAGATTGGATCAGGTGCCATAGAGGAGTAAGCATCCCTTTCTGACAGTCACTCCTGCCGTGTGCCCCTTGTCATGAATCGGGAAATAACGAAAAAATCAGTCGGCATTTCAGTATATAAAAAATGGACTGAAGATTAGTATGAAAAACCACACTCAGCATTTTGCTCAATGAAAAATTGTATTTGCTGACAAGGTCATTGTCCATTTCTCGCTCCCCTTTCCAATCGCTTGTTTCATTTAATTAATTAATAACCATAGTAATGGCATTACAAAAAAATTCCTTAGTAAGCAAGCAATATTTAAAGAACATACATTCAATATCAAAGTCCAGTGTTCTCCATGAGCTGTTTTACTGTGTTGCTCCCGACACAGCAAGATTTTCTCCCACACAGTAACTATTCAAATTTTATGCATGCAACACAGTAAAAATTTTGCCGACACAGTAAGATAATACCATGTGATAATTAGAAAATCTAAACACATAAATTCTCTCTAACTAAAACTTTAATCACACAATTCTACCGTCTTTCAATTCTAAAAGTTAGAGCACTTAATTAAATTACTAGGGCTTCACCTTGCATGATCAATTATATCCTAGACCCTCGCTGGACTTTACGCGTGAAGGAACAAAGACAAATAATTTGTTTCCACACTTCCATGTAACGGTTAATTGGTAGTTGCAATAAAATACATTTTATTTATTTATTTTTTTTTTTTTTTAAATATTAAGAGATCTTTTCTATGGAGCCGCGGCTCTAAAATTATTTTAGCATTGTATGTCAAACATAACATCGTATCCAAGTCTTTTAGTTGATGTGAATGGATTGCTTAAAATTTTCAACATGTTCAAGGAACTCTATTTTACTGTTCTGAAGTTTCTTTTCTTGTGATGTTGTAACTCGCTCAAGAAAACTGATAAATAATCAGCAAATTTACTTTCAAAAGTACTTCGACTGTATCGGTCAGATTTCCTCTGCTTTTCAGAACGTGTTTTTACTTTTATCAATATGTACGACTACACCATTAGTGTAGCGAATTAGCGATTTTTCTGCAACACAATAAAATTTAAAATGATGGAGAACCCTGAAAGTCCATAAAACAATACAAAATAGGAGCAGAGCAAACAGGGACCTCCAAAACATCAGATGTGGGATCAGGTGCCATGGAGGAATGAGCATCCCCTGCCGACCGGTAACACCCGCCGTGTACATATTGTCATGATCGGGAACAAACGGAAAAATCCGATGATTTTTTACACTTTAGGTTCCCAGTCTCCATTCATAAAAATGTTTCTATTACACTTAGCACCTAGTTTGCTATCAATTGTGGAAATAGCTTAAGCTATATTTTCAATATTTTCGAATTCTTTACCACGCAGCTCTAGTATTTCCGCAACAGTGAAGTCTTTTGACAAAATTTTAAACTATAAACTTTTTCTTTGCTTACCATCCATCGTTCCGCAAGTATGTCAAGGTTACAACCAAATATTCTACTTGTCTATATGATATGACGTCATAGTAAGCTATATGACGTAAAGGTTGAAGATAAGAATTTCTTAAAATAAATATCTAAAATCGGTTTGAGGTTGTACACATGAATGAAAATATGCAAAGGCATAATATAAACGGATTTTTGTCGTTTCTGGATCCCTGTAGTTATCACAGGGGTTAAATACCAAACCCGTGACGTCATAACTGTTGATCATGCATTAGCAGAGTGAAAGTGACACGTAACAAAAATTGATGTAAACAAACTCAATAAAGCGGAGTTTAAAAGCATTTAGAAGGAATATCATGTGTGATTCATATGGGAATAAAGCTTATGAATTAGATATGCTAATATAATTCTACAATTTCTTCGTAAAAATAAAGCTGGCAGGGTGTTTACTTGCCGATCAGCCTTTCCTCTGTCGTTCGTAACCAAAAAGATGCAAAAGTTCAACGCTACGCCGCATACTTTGAAACTTAAATTTTTGTTTGTATCTAAAGTTCTTATTCTATTGTTTTTGGAAAGAGCTGCTAGAATCGTATGGTTTACGGGAATTGATGCATTTATTCCGATGTTATGAACAGAATGTAAAAATATTGGGAAGGTTTCGTCCTAAAGGGTTAAATAATTATTTCTGTGATTTAGATAGGATTCTAGCAGCACTTTTCGTGGTACAGACATGTTTTTACACAACAGTTATTACAAATTGAAATTAATTATCCCCGGGGTAGTGTTGAACTTTTCACTTTTTCATTAAGGCATTTTTTTTCTAATTAAAGACGTCACGTGGTGACGTCGTGGTTAAGTGCTTCCTGTAGTATAAGTCCCATTGAAGTCTATAGAATGCAGAATTATAGCAAAAGGTTTATCCTTGACTTTTCCGAAGTATTAGTGTTACATAATTATAAAAAAAGTGTTAATTCGTCGAATTCTGATCCGTGTGCTGCCTTAACTACCTGCGTCGATTCAAACCTGCTACTATGCTAAATTTGTATTTTCTATTTCATACAAAAACATGGCTTATTTTTCATACATTTCTTGGTTATACAGAATCTTTTAAAATTTTGTTAAAGAAGTTTCCTGAATGGAAAGCAAAATTTTATTGCCATTCGCTCCTCCATGACGTCCTCTAACGTCATGGTTTTTTTTATTTTTTAAATCAAGTCCATATGTATTTAGAAAAGGATATCTTTTAAACAGAGCGATATATTACATTACCTGATAGCATCTTAAGTTATACAGCAAAACTTAATTAATTTAAAAATGTGAATTTTATTACGTCTCAGCTACTGTTTTAGGGATATAGCTATAGATACTTTAAAGTAAAAATTTGTAAAGTACTCAAATTTGGTGTTGCTCCCTGAAACCATTTTTGATGTCTTAGAAGCATCCTCAGGTAGTTTAGAATCAAGTCTATTCAATTCATGCCCCCCCCCCCCCCCTGGGGATACGGGGATCAAAGTTTTACATAGACATATTTAGGAAACTGTCATTAAAAATCCTTTTTAAAAGAACAACAAAGCCATGAATTATCATATTTATACGGAGCATCCTCATGTAGTATAGATTCAATTTTGTTTAAATCATAACTCATGGGGATGTCCACAATAGGGGATCAAAGTAATACATAGAAATACATAGGAAAATTCCTTAAAATCTTCTTAAGAAAAGCTAAGTCATGATTGACCTCATGTAGTTTAGATTCTAGTTTAGAAGTTTATTCAATTCATGATCACTGGGGATAGTGTGGGGTCACAATGGGGGATCAAAGTTTTGCATAGGAATACATAAATATATATAGGAAAAAAACTGTAAAATTCTTCTTCTCAAGATCAGTAAAGCCACGATTGATAATATTATTATGGAAGCATCCTCAGGTAGTTTGGATACAGTTTTGATCAAATTTTGACCCCCCTAGGGTAAGGTGAGGCCACAATAGGGGATCAAAATTATTCACAGGAATAAAAAGAAGTTTTATTAAAGTAGTCTTGTGAAGAAGAGCAAATCCATGATTTGTCATTGTTCTGTAGAAGCATTCTCTAGTAATTTAGATTCAAGTTTATTCAAGTCATGACTTCCTCCCCCGGGGTTGCAGGATGGGGCCACTATGGGGGATCAAAGTTCTTCAGGGTAATATATAACTTTTTAAAAATATTTCCTCAAGAATTGTTCATATTTATCGAAAAAAAGACAACAAGACAAAATTCTAAACTTATTGAATTTATTATCTCCTAACTGTGGCGTATAAGTGGGCACGTATTTGTATTTTAAATTTAAATTTGGCTGCCATTTCAACTTGGGCAAGCCACAACATATCAACATCACGACATCAACAACATATCAACATCACAACATCAACAACATATCAACATCACAACATCAACTCAATGTTCAAATTCAACTGTTCAATACAAATACCAAACTTCAACTCGTTTGTATATCAACTGTTCAACACATATCTGAACTTCAACTGTTCAGTCAACATCCATAATCAGCAAAACCCCGGGAAACGGGCGGACGCTGATTAGCAATTTAACGTTATTTACTTTAAATAACCTTGACCCCGGGAAACGGCGGTCAAAGTTTGATAGATGTCATATAATTTTATGCAAATGTTCATTTTCTTTTCTTGATAATAATAAAGGTGCCACGCAATCCGAAATCCGCCATTTCGTCTAACCCGTGCGAAAAATGATCCATCCTCAGAGAAAGAAGTCCGCTGGAATTCCACTACCAAGTAATGAACCATCCACAAGGAAACCCTCTCGTCTTTTT